ATGGTGGATTTGCGCAGCTCCAGCTCGGGCACCAGCGTCATCTCCAGGATGGGGCCCACCATGCCAGGGATAAACCGAATCTTGTGATGGCCTGAGGCAGGGGCAGGAAGGGACTGGTAGGAAGGGAATTGCTCTCCCAGGACCCCTCCCCTCTCCCCATGGGGGGAGCGCCCGCTCCTCCCTGCTGTGGGCAGCAGTCTGGGGACAGGATCACCTTGGGGGAGTGGTGGTATCGCCATGCGGAACACTAGCAGATTACACACCTTTCTGAGGCACCCAGACGGGTCCTGCCCCGGAGACAGCAGCATCCAGGAGAATGACAATTGGCAACAGGGGTAAGAGACAGACAGACAGGGAGTGGGGCTGCCTCGCAAGGGCATTCTCAGCTGCACACCCGTGTGGGTCCAGCTCAGGACAGGAGATCGAATTCAGTCACTCTCTGTAGTGTCCCCGCTGCTCCAGTCTTGCTCTCCACCCCACACCGCTCTACTGGTGCCCCTCAGTCCTGCCCCACAGCCCCTTGGCTAGTCCAGCCCCGGACTGTCTCTGTTTGGCTGGCTTGCGGAGAAAAATGCAAAGAGCCAGGAGCCCCAGCTGTGCGCGCTGTCTGCCAGGCTCCTGCGGGGAGGCTGCTCTAGCTGCCGAACCGAAAGGTAGGGAACTGTTCTCACAGGCCAGTACTGGAACGTCCCAACGACTGTTCTGCCCTAGTGCAGACCTAGCAGGTCCTTCATGCCCCTCGGTACCTGGACTGCATGTGTTCAGAACAGAGACTAGGGGCATGCCAGGGACCAGAAAGCCAAGGCAGAAAACTGATTGGCACTCCTTGTATTGGCTGATGTATCTTTTACTTGTAAACAGGCAGGGCACAAAGAGATGGCTTTAGGGCAGGGTGGGCAAACTTTTTGGCCTGAGGGCCGCATCGGGTTTCATAAATTGAATGGAGGGCCGGTTAGGGGAGGGGGTCCTGGCCCTGCCCCACCTCCTATCTGCCCCCCACCCCAGCCTCCCGCCCCC